TATCATTATAAGAGAGGATATTCACATGTAGATATAAGTGTCATAAGACTCTTAATTGAATCTAGGTTTGTATCTGCGATTTAAAATGAAATGGGGACATGGGCCTCTTTATTTCCAGTCATGTGTACATTGTGGACTTAGGTAATATTGTGTTGTGTATATGGTTTTTGTTAGGTGTTGGTTGCCATGGGGACATGGGCCTCTGACAACCATAAATTTTGTTCTTTGTAATAACTATTTTTTGGTTTTTTTTGTTTTTTATCATTAATTTCGATGATAACTTAACACATAATAAAAACGAAGTATTTACGTTTAACCCTTTGGTCATACAATATTATACGTATTTATCCCAATTCTCAGAGAGTTTATAAAACCAACAGTAATGAAAAACAAAATGAAAAATCCTTTCTTGCAGCTGACGATGGGTTAAACTCTTGACCGTCCTACTGTCATAAAATATTTAGGTAGTTAGGACTAATTGTTTATTTTGAATTTTTGATCACAGCTTGGATGGGGGATATTGTTACAAGGAAGGCTTTGAGTAACAATATTGTGGCGAATGTAACCCCATCTTTGATGGGATGGGTCAATAAGGTTTTGTTATTATAACCATATATGTTGTTTATAAATATGATTTATTGATTTAATTATTTTACATGTTTTTCATTGTGTTCCTTCTTCGTCATTTTAATAATAAATGACAGTTTTCAATTCATACATATTTGTGTGTTAATCATTCCTTCATCCCATCAAACAGAGCAAGCGTGTGTTGACAAAAATGCTAATTTTTATCAAAAATGATTTTTTGGCAAACTAGGCGGTAATGTAGAAAGCGGCATAACTCTTTGACTTTATGTTGGAGAAATGCTAACACTAAGTAAGTTCCTTTCCCTGATATTATCTGATCTCAGATGGCGCTTCAGTTTGCAGATAGAAATTGGAAGAAACATTTTGGAACTGAAATTATACCCACCATCCCTCCCTGGATAACTTATTTTGATAATAAATTATTTTTGAAACCATATTAAATTTTAAATATTTTAACTTTGGTTAATTGAAGTATTGTGTATATTCAACATTCATTCGGTTATGCACATTAGGTTCATATTTTACTTTGTTATACAAGAAGTCAGTGTTATATTCGAATGTAACCCCCATCTTTGATGGGCGAATATAACCCCATCTTTGATGGAATGGGTCAATAAGGTTTTGTCATTATAACCATATATGTTGTTTATAAATATGATTTATTGATTTAATTATTATACATGTTTTTCATTGTGTTCCTTCTTCTTCATTTTAATAATAAATGACAGTTTTCAATTCATACATATTTGTTTGTTAGTCATTCCTTCATCCCATCAAACAGGCTCGCTTGTTTGTCATTCTTTCATCCCATCAAACAGAGCAAGCCTGTGTTGACAAAAAAAATTTTCTGGTTTCAAATTAGTACGTCAAGGATTACTATCAGCTCAAATATTTTTTAACAGTTATCTGTTTTCATAATTTTTTAAAATTTTTAATCAAAAGACAATGATGATGCACCAAAGAATGAGGTTAAACTATTCAATGTCAAATATTGAAAACAGAAAACTGGCATCCAAATGTATTTAAGTTAGCTGTAGAGCTTACATAACAAAGACCAATTGTAAATGTCCCCGTTATTGTGTTTCACCTGAAAGTACCATAACAACAACACTATTTGTGTGTGCATGCAATGAATAAAGACTTGTGATCAACGATTAGACATCAGTTTACCTGTAAAATGAATTAAGAAAATATATTCCCGTTAGCACTATTAATACACGTGCGGTCCGCTTGATGACCTGACCTGGATTGAAAAATTAAAATCAATCACATAGAAATCGCTCCCTCGTTCGTAAATATTAGTAAAATCCTACAATCAAATTCCTAAACATGCATCAAAAACAAATCTGTGCTCCCGTAAATATGTGTACGCAAAAAGCATGCATGACCCGACATCAATACCTGTAAAAAAATTAAATCAATAGTTATCGTATTACTCTGATCAATACGCATGTGGTCTGTTCAACGGTCTCCCCTAAAAAGAATTAAAAATCCTAAATTCAGACATCATGTGACTTCACAAACACCACAGCGCGTGGACCTAAATTTAGAATAAAAACATTCCTCATCCAAATATAGAAAGCGAAACTTCCTAGACAAAATTCAAACAAAAAGCACACACAACAAATAAATAAAACTTGAAGTCCGATGTAACGTAGAAAATAGAGATAATCTATAAATGAAGGATGCTTGGATCATTTTTTATCAGGACATCCAAGGCGTCCGTTTGGCTGTGCGGGATAGATAATACTCAGCCACGTTCGGTCAGAATTGGGAAGTTTAATCAGATTTCTCGCGTAGAGAGTGCCATGTAAAACTTTAATCAATCAGTCAATCAATCAATCAATCAATCAATCAATCAATCAATGTCCGGTCCATGTGTTTAATAGGGGATGAGGGATTTCCCTTTGTTTTTCGCTTGTTCCTAGTGGCCCGGTCCAATATGTATATTCAACCAACCAACCAACAAACCAATCAATCAATCAATCAATCAATCAATCAATCAATCAATCAATCAATCAATCAATCAATCAATCAATCAATCAATCAATCAAACAATCAATCAATCAATCAATCAATCCTGTTTCGGAGGGGAAAGACCGTTTACAATTGTTTTTAAAACAATTGATTTATATTCTTATGAGTAATTGTTAATTAGTTCTTGAGAATATAATTCCATTTCTTAATACTCAGATTTTGTTTTTTTTCTATTTATTACAAAGGTCTAACTCTGACTTCGAGATATTTGTTTCAATGTGACAGCAACTAAACGACAAAAAAAAACATACGACAACTAGCTAGAGAGGTCAGCATTAAGTCTGAAACAGGTTTCCCAGTCTATTGACAATTGAGAAACTGAAAAGACCAGACACCCCAAAATGTCATATAGGACCGGAAAACTCAGTTATGTGGCTGCTCGACTATAAAAAAATAAAATATTTGGTAATTAGATAGTGTAAAAGGAAAATATCAAATTAAGAAAAAAAAAAAAAAAAAAAAAAGGAAATGGAACGAAACAGCACAAACTTGTACTGAACATGAAACACGACAAAAAAGGACATCTTTAAATCCCTTGCGAGAATTGGTGTCCGTTTGGCTGTGCTGGATGTATAAATTCGCAGTCAAGGTCGTATAGAATAGGGACATTTAATCACTTTGAATTTCAAAATTTTTACTCTTATGAGTCGAGTCATGTTAAGACAATTTCTATCCTAGACTAACCAAAAACTAGTTAAATAACTTTAATTATAATGATCTGTAACTTTTTTTTTAATTTACAATTTACATGTATATCAGATTGTTTCGTATATTCACATGTAGAATTTGATCTGGCAAGCATGTATATATATATTTACACAGCTCTATCATAACATTAATACACATATGTGTACATCAAATATACATGTATGCTGTAGTATATAAACTAAGAAATTATTGAATAATAAAAATTATTTTAAGTTAACTCCGTAAGCATGAAAAGCATAAAACGGTAACCAATTAAACATGTTAAATCAAAATGATAATATGAATTAAGCATGTAAAATATAAAATATGGAAGAAGAAAAATTATTCAGCAGAGGCTATCAATATCATGCTGATTATAAATGAAATTAAAAAAATAACTGTAATATACGCTTACCTTAAACTGGTATTCAAATATTGTTTAGTCGAAAGATTCTGATGGTAATCTTACAAGAATTTAGCTTGTTGGTTCTAAAGCAAGATTGATATGTGTACATACTGTATATACAGACCAAAAACAAATTGTCTAGCGTTTATTATCGTTGGGTTTCAATTTTGCGTTATAGCGTTTCCGATAAAGGTAGATCCAGAAAAGCGATTCGGACGCATGACATTATTTTCTGTTTTTTCTTTCATTTCATATTTTCAAATATAGGTCATTGCCAAATTTTAAAATATCAGGTTTTTTTTCAAACCATCATTGAATGACATGAAACGTTTTACAGCAGCTTCTTCATACAGCCATCGCTATAAATACTTTGATTTTTACTTTCTTTATCAATAAAATTTATAAATGAAAGTCCTTTAGTTTAAGCGATCAACATTTAAATAGAGTCTGTGGTGAAATATTTTGAAATATAAATAGAAACCTACAGGAAATGTTATATAGTCTTAGTAAAGTGATAAGTTCCTACGCTATTTATAATCATATTATGTTTTCTTAAATTTTCTGATTAACCAAATAAACATGATAAACAGGCTGAGTGTTCTTTCAGACAAAACAGGGTTAACGTGGGAAATTAGGAATGAAAAAAAAAGGCAATACTGTAAATAAGCCATCCCCTTAACATTCAAAGAGTAATTCGAAGATTTATAAGAAAGTAAAATAATATCTATTCATTTTTTTTTGTTTTATCAAATTTTAATGTTCTGACAGTTCATTAAAAACCAGGGACAGTGGCGGATCGTGGGGGGGGGGGGGGGGGGGGGTCCGGGGGTTGGAACCCCCCTTTTTTGGACGATCAATGCATTTAAATGAGGACATATGGTTGGAACCCCCCTTTCTCCTGGGTTGAGAACCTCCCCTTTTAAATTTGGCTGGATCCGCCCCTGCAGGGAGGTGTAAAATGTCATGAATTGGAAAAATCGTACATGTTCATTTACATTGAACACATTGTTTTTTAAATTCAACATTGAATGGATGATTTGGCTAATTATTTCAAGAAGCCTGACATTATATATGTATGGCAGTTTGTATATTTGTCAAAATCGACAATTTATAATTAAGATATAGCTTCAAAGAAGACAAAAAAACATGTTTCTTTTTAATTTTTCAAACATCTTAACATGTTGTCTTTCAAAATTTGTAAGTGACATGTTAGCTTACTGTTGGTTTTGGATGACAAACGCGAATAAAATTGAGTAATGTTTCGAATTGTTTCAATATCGAATAATAATAATAATATCTTTATTACCAAGATTACTTTATTTAGATCTTGTACATGTTCATTATTGTTGCTATCGCTAAAATTATTTTGGTAAAATGCATATGTTTAGCAGTTTTGAATTTTTGGTGCGTTGTTTTGAAACAATTATCATAATTGTAGTTATTGAAATAATATTTAATTGGTAGGATTTACTTAAATAAGGAAAAGGCTTAATCGCATATGCAGACTCTTCCAATAGGTTCGAACTTCTCTACAGTTGATTTTTAAAGTAAACGTACTTTTATGATATTTATAAACAAAATCAAAGTAAGTGGATGTTTAACAAGAATCACTGCATTGCACCTTTTTTTTTTTGCTAAATGTTTTTGATTATCTCTGTTACAGTCGTAATAGTTTTTGAAAACCTTTGTTGAGAAACATTCCATTTGGATCAGCACCGGACTTGGTCAGTTGCTCTTTAAATGCGTTGATATGTTGTCCAATATGCTGAAAGAATAATACAAAACACTAAAACAAATATAGCTAGGTGATAATTCAAATAATTACATTATCGATGTTATTATTATTGTGTACCATAATTTTACAACAAAAGGCGTACAATAGAGTAGACTAGTTTACACAAGGCTATGCTAACATATATTTAGTCTATAGTTATGTTTTAAGTATGTAAGATGCCTTATATAATATGCGCTTTTGAGACATTTTAGATCCAAAATTAAATCGTTCAAGTATACGATATGCAAGAGTTTATTTGCTTCTCAAATAGTGTCATCAGCAAAGCATTTAACAAGATATGGTTAGTACGTCTTTGAATTAAACTTAAGACATATGAAATCCAGAGTTAATCTCTATCTTGGATAAAAAGCCAAGATAGATAGCGACGTCTAAAATTTACGAAAAAAACCCAATTTCCTCTACAGATAGAGTTTCAAACTCCTTTGATCCGCTTCTTTCCGTGCTAATGACATCCTTTGACTTTGTAGCGAATTTGCTGGTGAAATGTCAGTGACAGACAGATCATTTGAATATCTGCCTGCACCAAGTCAGGAATATGACAGTTTTATTACATTCGTTCCATTCGTTCGATGACATGAGTCTACGTAACATGTTATCTATCGATCTTATGCAATGATTCTTTGTTATAGACATACATTCGGTAGTTTGAAATAACATTACCAATACCATTTTGTTTCTGCACCAGATGCGTATTTCGACAATAGATGTCTCTTCAGTGATGCTCGAGGATAAAATATTTGAAAAAAAAACAACCAAAAAAATCTTATGAATAAAACGAACAAAAGTACATGTATAGCCAAAGCTGGGTAAGGAATCACAAGTTTGCACGAGGGGAGACTTGAACTTGTGTTTAATACATGTATTTTTATTCTTTATTTCCAAAGATTATGTTTTAAAAAGTTAAATTTTGCATTCACTAAATGTATCTTTTTTAGAAAAAAACTCAATCTGACGGCTGCTTTTTTGTCCTCACCTTGTAAATATGGTCCTCAATACCAGGAAGAAAATCCTTTTTTTTAGCTAAATGTGGGACACCATCTAAAGCCATCCATTCTTTACCTACGTCAATGGAAAACTTTGCCCATCCTTTTTTGTTGACGACACTTACAATTTCAATATATAACACGTGACCAGATCCGCCATAGTCAGGATTTCCGATTATACCAGGACAAAGAACTGTGTCACTAAAAATGAATATTCCTTTTAATTTAAAAAAGGAGAGACATATGAACAATCAAAGGTCGTAAATCGATTAAACGAAGAAGGACGGACAGCATTAATTGTCAAGAACAAAATCAAATAAGACAAATAGAAAATTCAAAATTAACCCTGAAGTTGCAAACTAAACATTGATGAAAAACTATTATATATGTAAACACCCCTCATTTCATACCTTTTCAATTAGGAAAGCAGCCCAAAACAATGAATACAATATCCCAATATTGAACACTTACCTTAACTACAAGCACTGAAGCACATTTTGATTTGTTTCATTACACTCTATTTATATTAATTGTATCATTTATATAAACATCATTAAGTGAACAATCTTTAATTTTGCTTTGTCATTTTTAGTGATGCATTTCTATACCAAGCATCATGACTGATACAGTTCGTCTCAGTCGACACGAAGGAGAAGACGATGACTTTATATTGCAATAAAGTCATTGAAGTTGCCTAGGAAAAAGTAAAATAGCAAAAATAGCGAACTCTAAAGAAAATTGAAAACGGAAAGCCCCTTATTAAATGGCAAAATTAAAAGCTCAAACACATCACATGAATAGAAAACAACTGTCATATTCCTGACTTGGTACCGTCATTTCCTTATGTAGAAAATGGTGCATTAAACCTGGTTTTATAGCTAGCTAAACCTCTCACTTGTATGACAGTTGCATACACATTGCGATACACATCTTTGCTATGGTCTTTCAACTTGATGAAGTTTCTCACCTACATCTCATTGTAGCTGAAAAATTCATTCTCTTTTCTAAAACCATTGATAATTCATCATGTTCGATTTATTACTGTTATACTGTTGTTGAGACTGATAATGTCGTTCAGTAAGTTACGATTAATTACTTTTATAATGTTGTTGAGACTGATAATTTCGTTCAGTAAGTTACGATTAATTACTTGTATACTGTTGCTGAGACTGATAATCTCGTTCAGTAAGATACGATTAATTACTTTTTGGTTTCTTATGATATTTACCTTTACCCCATCATACGCATTTCAAGTACAACATTAAATGGATACTCATCTTTTCCCTCATAATTGTCTACTTTGTTTACAACGATTTGAATAATCTTCAACAGTCGGAGAAAATCTCCTCTCAAATCAAAGGCAAATTCCATATTATTTACAGGAGCTTTTTCAATGAACTGTCTGTAAAGAAAGTCATAAGTTTTCAACTAGGATTTTGATTTTGATTAGTCAAAAACCGGCCATAACAAACCATATACATGGTTGTCGCTGAAGATACGAATTGGAGATTTCGAACCAAAATAACTTTCTGTTCTAAACTGGCAGTCAATGATTACTTCTAATCTATTCGCTTAACACAGAAGAACGGTTTCCACTAGTAATGCAGCAAGAACTACTAAACAATTATATTTACATCCTCGATTATGGTAGGCTCGCAATGCTCAATTTTTGGTCGATTATGGTAGGCTCGCAATGCTCAATCTTTGGTCGATTATGGTAGGCTCGCAATGCTCAATCTTTGGTCGATTATGGTAGGCTCGCAATGCTCAATCTTTGGTCGATTATGGTAGGCTCGCAATGCTCAATCTTTGGTCGATTATGGTAGGCTCGCAATGCTCAATCTTTGATTTTATGTGTAGTGTTTTGTAGACTGTCGCCTTTTTTTGTTGTTCTCTGTTTTTCTTCGACTTATGAATGTTTTACTCACCCGTTTTGTCCCTCTTCCGTGTTTGCTAAAAGCTATTTATAATGTTTAAGAATAGTAGTTGACGAGAATAATGTGTACGATCTACTTAACCGGATATTCCGTTTCCATGATTATCGTAACACATACTATCAGCTTCATTTTTGGACGAAATGAAAATTGTAATCTATGCGATTTAACGTTTTGGTTTCTGCTAAATTTACCGAATAAAATATGGGGATTTACATTTAACTGCTATCAGACTCTCTCAAACATTAACAGAAGACGCTAATCTGTCTACTGGTGCAATATACCAATCTTGTGGAAAGCGCATAAGGACTTAAACCTATATCCATACTTGTAATTATTATTATTTCCCCTCTGCATTGCAGTACCCTGTACACGCTTCGACATTCTTACGAGTTGTAAGTGATAACGTCAAGTTGTTTAAATATCTATTTCTACGAATATGTCATAAGCTTACCTGAAATGAACAGCGTGTGGAAGTTCCTGATACTGGGTACCGGTCGGATAAATGATTTTCTTTAACGCGTCAAACGATGACCATGCATATAGTGGAGTCAACGAAGGATTTTCTGTTAGTATTGGTAATATCATCAACAGAGCTTCCGCTGACAAGTAGTCTTTCCCCTCTTTCCCGTCGTAATAGGTTTGGTTTGCAGTTTCTACTTTCTTCGTTTCTTTGTTTATTACTCGGATCAAGACATCGTCATTTTGGGGATTATAATCAAACTGGCTCAGTAAGTTGTAAGGAAACCAAAATATCTCAATCGACTAGTTTTCTTCAAATACTTGTTGTATATTTTTAACATTATAGAATAAGTCGTCTAAGTTTATGTATCGATTTTCCACCTCGACGATAATCTCAGAAATGAGTTTTATTGTCATATCGAATATTACTCCAAAACGTCCTCAACATTTCTTTGTCGTCAGATGTATAGGTTCTTAGTTTTCCATCACTTCCGATTATGCGTATCTTTACCACATTGTCACTTGGTGTGTTAGCATCCCATCCTACGCCCTGTTTGTACATACAATTTGATATATATATATATATATATATATATATATATATATATATTTTTTTTTATCCAACGCAATCATAGGTTTGAACGTTGTTTTCAATTTAGACTTGTTTATATTTTTTCGTTTGGGCTTGTATTATATTTGCCTTCGGGTTTATATGATCCGTTCATCCTATTTTGACTCCTCAAAATTCAAGAGTCTATTCTAAATTGAGGTAAATTGTATGGCTTTCCAAATACCGCTTCGATTTCTAACATCACTGATGAGACATTAATTGTCGAAATCCGGATATGATGTACAAAAACCTTTGCACCTTTTGTTTGCGGTATACCATCTTTTCCGCAAGTTTATTGTTTTCTGTTTAGTATTAAATTTATAATTAAGATCCATTTATTACATCGGTGATCCGTTTATTTGGCAATCGCCAATGGCAGCAGCAGGATTTAAGAACATTTGTTGTTCGACCTGTTAGTCAAATGCGTTTTGTTAAAATAAATTTTAACTTTTTTGGTCTTTTGGAAATTGATGTTTGTGCTGTATTTAGACTCTTCTAACAAGAAATTTGTTTTGCATGCACACGTATAAAAATTGCGGTTTTTATCCAACGCAATCATAGGTTTGAACGTTGTTTTCAATTTAGACTTGTATATATATATATATATATATATATATATATTATCATGCACAACCAACATAGTTAATATGTATACTCTACACTATTCAACTGGTTCCGTTTGTATAAAAAGGAAGAAGATGTGGCATTATTGCCGAGGGGTCAACTGTCCACCACTGACCAAATGATATAGATGCTAAGTCAATGTAAGGTCTTCAACAAAAATGAACAAACCTCATATCGCATAGCCAGCAATAAAATGTCCTGATTGATCTTCTTCGGACTTGAAGTAAAACCCAATCAATGGGCGTACATTTGGCTACGCGGAAATGTACAAGTACACAGGCATGTCCGATCAGAATGGAGACGTTAGATTTGATGCCTCATGTGAAGAGAGCGCCACACTCCCTGCACGTTTAGAACCTTAGAAACAACGCTTTGAGGGATTCGTACGTGGCCTGTTGCAAAGGTGATTTTTTTGCTAATCCAACATACCCTCATTTTCAGGTGGCAGCCCAAATTTCTCCGACCTTCATTCTTAACGGCCTTTTATACAGCACCTACTTATTGTGCTTAGTGTTAATTTGTTCTCATCCTGAACATGCATGATCTATTTGCCACTGGACGTTAAGCACTCAGCAATAAATAGATTATTTTAAAATAACATATACAAATTGTCCAAGACAACTTCTACAAAGACTATTAGGAAGACAAATTACTCACGTGACAGTCAGTTGCTACTACACTTACCATCTGAACAGCATCTGTTACAACAATAGCTGCAATATTTAACTTATTTTTCAGTTGGAACTTCTTAAAGGCTCCTGTCGTCACTCCAGTCAGAATGTCTACTTCGCTTTTTTTGCTCTGAAATGAAAGGATCAGTAAAAAAGAAGTAGACCTATGTTAATGAACATAACCCTTGTCCGTCACTGGTACCTTTTTCGACAAATATTCTTATACATGAAGTCTATACTTATGTGTTACAAGGATTATTTTAATGAAGTTTCTGTTAATTGATAATGTACAAAATGCTGAAATATTCCTAGCACTAAAGGTTTTTCTTTCCTCTTCGCTTAGCAGTATTTATCACATTCTTCATGCTCTTTAACTTAGGATTCAATATTGCCTTCCAACTGTTCTGATACAAGCGCCAACGAAGATGAAATGCGTACACAACTATAAACCTGACATCTTTGATGACTCTACATAAAACTCCTGGGTCAATGTCACTTTTGTTGGACGTGTCTTCCTTGGAGTTATCACCAGCCCAGTAGCAAGCACTTTTGTGTTCACATAAAATATCACTGACTTGTTTATTTGCCTTCACTTTGCTGTTTGTATACTACATTTTACACCTGGTATCTGCTGAGTGTTTCACGGTACGCTTGAAAAGCTTTGATGGAATGTACGACTGATTAAAACACTTATTCCACTAAAGATTATCTATTTGAATACACTCTATATGGTAAAATCTGTAATGTCGTGATTTTCATTGTATGTGCTGAGAGTCAGCCTAGGTAAACACTGTATTATATAACAATCGGACTGTTGAAAAGAAATAATAGCGTCCTTCTTTACTTTTCTAATCGAAATATAAAAAAGGGGGTTAAAGATGGCATATTTTGGATTAATATTGATTCACTCATAGGGTCTTTGCATCGGGAATAAACATGTATTCTAAAACCAGTTGATGGCATGATACGGGTAATGTTCTTCTTGCATATTTCATGAAAGCATGATACTAAACCCCAAAGGCGGGTGGGGTTGAGGGGTCGGGGATAAAGACATAATCTTTTGATCAGTTTAAATGAGGTCTGAAACTGGTATGTCAGTAACTGCTAGTAGTCCTTTTTTGATTTATGTTGATCATTGTCATTTTGCTTACTTTCTTCTGTTACCTATTCTAACATCGAACTCGAACTTCTTTTGAACTGAGATTTAATTTGCTTATTGCAGTGTGTATGTTTATTTCACATTGGCTAGAAGTATAGATGGAGGGTTGAGATCACACAACACATTTTTAACCCCGACCTGTTTTTGCGCCTGTCCTAAGTCAAGAATCTCTAGCCTTTGTCAGCCTTGTGTGAATTTTAATTTTGGTTCATTTATATGTTTCAAAGTTAAATGTGGCGTCAATTTTGCTGTACTAGTATAATTTTATGGTTAAGGGGCAAGCTGAAGCCCACCTCAGGGTGCGGGATTTTCTTGCTGTGTTGAAAACTCATTAGTTGACTTGGGCTGTTTTCTGCTCTTTGTTATCTGTTTGGCACATTCCCCGTTTCCATTCTCAATTCTTTTATGGAATATCAAAAAAACTGTTTTTTCCCTCAATTTGGAAAATGAAACATATTTCCCGTCCTAATCTGTAACCTCGATTGCGCATGCCTTCAATTATAAATTTGTGTGTTTCCTTTGCAGAATTTGATGAAGTTTTTATTGCATCTATCAGCTATAGGAGAAAGCAGTAAAGTAAAACCAGGGACAGCAAAAAAAAGCCATTTGGAACATTTAGAACATTTATTTTAAGTAACAATCGTGTAAGAACAAATGTATTTTGCTACCGATGGATTTGCATTAACATCATTGACTTGTTGTTTACCACCAGTGAAGTGATTCTAGTTCATAGCTACTTACAATGGATATTCTAATTCTGGAACCATCTTTGTAGTCGCTTTTCATATTCCTCACATAAATAAGTAATTGGTTGTTGTCTGAAAATATTGGCACCCAGCTGTGTCTAGATCCAGCACATCGCACACGTAAACCTTCCTCTGATGCTGCTAATATCAATGTCTGCAGTTCTTCTTTTGTAGTAGGAGATGACGAAATAACCTGCACATCTTGTGTCTCTCCCCAGTTTTTAAACGTCTCTATCTGTGTAGCTGGGGACTTCCCAATGCGCATTTGTAATCTCAATAGTTTAATCTTCGATATCGCCCTGAGAAATTATATTTTGTATTCAATGCAATTAAAGATATAGGATCGACGGTTATTTATCAAAGAAATATAAATCAGTGTACATATATTGATAAAATAATACGTTTAATGTTATTTTCGGAACTCACATCGTAGTTATTAGGAGGCGACATCTTATACCAAAGTTCGAAAATATATTTTTATAGTTAAAATGCGCATGGCAGGTGATGCATGCGAAGCAGAAACCGCTTACACTGTCATTTCAACTGGTCTCGCTCTGTTTGAATTTTATGCTTTTTCCCTAGTGTTTGTTCTCTTCCTAAAAGGGTAATCCATATTTGAACATTGGTAAGCTACTGTCGCCTTAACTAATATACAAATCAGGATAAAATGTCCGAGGAAACTGATTTAACTGTAAACTGGTAAACAGGATAAGTGTCTCTTGCTATACATCCAACATTCTTCATGTAAATCTGAACTCAATAAAAATGTCACGCAAGGAAATAGAAAAACAGCGGTATATATGCATATCAGACTATTAAGTTTGGTAGTTCAAGATATTTATCATGAACCATGTTTCTCTTGTTTAGACAAAGACACGGTAGATAGGTCAACCAACTCGTGATGAAAACCGCCGAAAACTCATTCAGTTTCTATTTTAGTGGTTGTCAGTTATGACTCAGAACAACGCCATACGACAGGGTAGAGGGATAATCGAACTGACTGAAAAATGGAAAGTTGACAATAGGGAATCTATAGTCGTCACATCTGTCATACATCCTTCTTTGAAGCATAATATTAAGCAAAACTTCAATAGGATCCTTAAAGTCAAATGTATTAGAATAATTATATGAGATGCAGGCAAAAATATCAATATTGTCACCCTCTATGTTGTGTTTCGAATTACTACAATACAAAGAACAAATCATGAATTTACTTTCTTATAAACACTTACAATTTCGTTTATTTCATACTGTTTCGAACGGTGTAAATCATATATCAACGTGCTAGTTCGACCGATTAAGACTTTTGAGCATTCAATGTTCTTTTCCATTATCAGTTATACATGAAACCCACTCTTGATCTTTTCAAATATGTAGTTTGATCTGTCTTATCTTGTATACCTTTTAACGACTTCTGATTAAGCAGAATTCGTAAAATATGGCGGTCAATCACGGTTTGTAAATTATATTATATCTTTTGATAGCACTGCATACACCTGCGCATTCATAAGGTCAATACAGTGTTTTATATGGTCGGATTTTTTGGCCGATTTTCTTGTTCCGGCAGAAATTCAACACTACGATAAAAATTATTGGAAAATTCTTGGAATCAAATACAAAATTCTTTTTTTGTCGTTTTGTAGTGATGATGTGACATAATGAAAAAGGCGACCATGCATGAAGTGGAAGATACCCAGGGACAGTGCTTTTTTCAAACAGCATTTTAGGTGTTCACTATCACGTGGACTATAATGTTCGACAACTACAGGATGAAACTAGATAAAAAAACACACATGCCGTTTTATGTACAAATGCATTCTAAATTAGTCATTCTCTGTAATCATCAACATATGCTTGAAATGGAACTTCACAGATCTTAATAATATTTAATACAATTACAGTGTACTAAGACCCTTTTATTATGGTACCATTAAACATTTTCAGCGCAACACGAACCCTATCGACAGAGTGCATTTTTATTTGTGCGTTTACATAGTTACAGACCCAATATTGTCATTTGTTTATGTGAATTCCGGAATTCTCAGTTATCACCAATAATATGGTTAACTATTTGTTAAATTTACATATCTTTTATGTAAAGTGTTTGCATTCCAAATAAATCACATATTGCTGTGAAAAATGATCTAGTGAATTGTTTAAAAACGCGGCTACTGATGGCAAAACTTGACAACTTTACTTGTAAATTTGACCATTTTTAACAACATTCAAAAGAATTTGAGTGGTAATATTGTTTAAAGAATTAAGTTTAGGATTGCTTGTTTCTGACAACTTCGCAAGGTTTTATCAAGAGTTATTTCCCTTGTCGAAAATCTTTTCTTTGTGTTTTGTACAAGTGAAAGTGAAGGTAGAAGCAGACGTTTACAAAATATGTAATTTGGAATGAATGTAAAGCCATGGCTGAATAATTTTGATAAATGTCACACAGTAACATAACTGTTCTATGATTTATACAGTCCTTTCACAGTTTTGATGTCATAGTTCAGTATTTAATTGCGGCATGGCCTGTCAGTGTCACTTCACTTCATCAACTGGATGTTCCGGGAATATTATTTCATTGAATGCATGTGCTAACATAGACATTACAATTATTTTCACTGAAAATGGATTACATCCAACAAAATTTAATATTCAGAAATGTGGTTATATGTACTGAACATTTCAATCATTTTTTAAAACTAAATGTTAACCGCTCGAAAAGAACAGTATGTCAACCTCCGCCAGTTTAGAGCTACCATCCAGGGTTGAACTACAAATCAAGCCGGTCTGTGCGAATCTGCGAGGTTGAGATGATCCTACGCAGCAGTGATATTATTATATTAGTTGGAACCCGTAAGTATAAACAATTCTGACAGTATGAACGTTTTTGTAAAACTATCACAGCATTTACATGCTTGCAACTCAAACCTATCTTTGTTTGCAAAGAAGTATGTTCTTTTAGGATAAGGAGAACTGCCCTCCATCTGTGTACACTTTGTCCGTTTTTGTTAAAACTTTTAAGGCCTATAATATAGGGTAATGAAATCTTTATCAACGGTGCTGTCCTTTTTTTTTTAAGTGAAAATCAAATATTAATAAAAATATTGTCCACCATGATTACTATTAGATCAACCAATAGTAGCCATTCTGAAGCAAGGATGAAGGTAGGAATTTATCGCTACTGGTACCATATCAAATTGATAAATTGATTAAATTTGTCAAAATATGCTCAATCCAAAATGTCTATATTTTTAAAAAGTAAATTATTCATCTGATTTGTCTTCGTCACAAATTCCGAAATCAAGTATGCTAGTTCCCCAAATCCAATACTTTAAAAGTAAGCGATCCCAGGTTCCTTGCTCCCTCTCCATCCAAACAAAATGTTTTCTGATAAAACATATTCAATATATTTTTTTTTAATTTTCAGTTTCTATTGACTTTTGGATGAATATAATGTATATATCATATTATATAAGCAATACTCTAGGTAAACAAACATTTTTTTAGTGTATAATTGTTGTTCATAGAATCCAAGTTTTATACTTATTCTCTCATATGTCAAATGTATGTGTGAGTGCCAAGGTTGTGTAAATCACAGAAAATATGCAAAATCATTGATGAGAAAAAGCAAGATATACAACATGTACACCACAAATTGACTTTTAGTTTCCTTTTTATGGTTGTAATAAATATAGTATATGCTTCAAATCATACCAAGATCACAGCTACAACAGAAAAATATACAATTATTTGCATACTAAATTTATATTGAAGAAGGGCTATTTAATTTTAATTCGAAATAATCCTTAATTGGAAACATTATTTAGCATGAAATATTTTTCAGCAATATGCATGAATATGTTAAGAACTGTAAATTCATAATTTTGCGATACTTTTATTAAAGAAAAAAGGCGTCCCCAAAATTAAAACTCACATGTATGTAGGTGCGATAAGGACTTTATTTGGCCCCCAATATCAAATCTATTATTTGAAGTCGGAGAGTTTCTCATTTTGACAAAACAACAATTTAAGAAAGTCGATGAAAGTAAAATTGAACGATTTTCGTAGAACTCGAATAGATGTTGGATAAGTTTTGACGGAATCTCCTCGTATATAAGATAGATTTGGCATACATTATATATAATAATTTGTGATATCAAAAACAATGTAACGAAATATTTTATGTCTACTCATGCTATTCGTGTTTCCGTTCTGAAAAAAAAAATTGTTGCTTTCCAAAAACTTGGTTAAAAAACAAAATTGAGGCTTATTGCTACGTCATGAAAAGAACGCTGATACGTAAATTATGTAAATTATTTATTCTATCTAGCCATTATTCTGACTATAATACATTGCCATCATTATTTGGGCGAACGTTATGGAAAAATTCAAAAATGACCTAAGATAAGTTTCATAGACACAATACTGTCCTCTTTTTTACTTATTTGTGACTGACGTCACCGATGACGATTCATTACTGAATTTTAATTTGCCATAAGCAACACAACAGGTGCCACTCAGGAACTGTTTTCCTTTCCGGATACATGAGTTTCCTCTGGCCTTTCATGGGGGTTAGTGTTGCTCAATCTGTATCGTTCTTTGTAAAATTGTGTGGACTGTTTACCTTTCCGGATACATGAGTTCCCTCTGGCCTTTGATGGGGGTTTGTGTTGCTCAATCTGCATCGTTCTTTGTAGAATTTTGTGGACTGTTTATCTTTCCGGATACATTAGTTCCCTCTGGCCTTTGGTGGGGGTTTGTTTTGCACAATCTGTATCGTTCTTTTTTGAATTGTGTGGACTGTTTACCTTTCCGGATACATGAGTTTCCTCTGGCCTTTGATGGGGGTTTTGTGTTGCTCAATCTGTATCGTTTTTGGTAGAATTGTGTGGAATGTTTACCTTCCGGATACATGAGTTCCCTCTGGCCTTTGATGGGGGTTTGTGTTGCTCAATCTGTATCGTTCTTTGTAGAATTGTGTGGACTGTTTACCTTTCGGGATACACGAGTCCTCTGTTGCATTTGATGGGGGTTTGTGTTGCTCAATCTGTATCATTCTTTGTGGAATTGTGTGGACTGTTTACCTTTCCGGATACATGAGTTCCATTTGGCCTTTGATGGGGGTTTGTGTTGCTCTATTTGTATCGTTCTTTGTAGAATTGTGTGAACTATTTACCTTTCCGGATACATGAGTCCCCTGTTGTCTTTGGCAGGGGTTTAGGTTGCTTATTTGTATCGTTCTTTGTAGAATTGTGTGGACTGTTTACCTTTCCGGATACATGAGTCCCCTGTTGCCTTTGATGGGGGTTTGTGTTGCTCAATCTATATCGTTCTTTGCAGAATTTTGTGGACTGTTTGTCTTTCCGAATAAATGAGTTCCCTCTCGTCTTTTATTTGGGTTTGTGTTGCTCAATCTGTATCGTTGTTTGTAAAATTGTGTGGACTATTTACCTTTCCGAATACATGAGGTCCCTCTGGCCTTTGAAAGGGATTTGTGTTGCTCAATCTGTATCGTTCTTTGTAGAATTGTGTGGACAAATTACCTTTCCGGATACATGAGTTCCCTCTGGACTTTGATAGGGTTTTGTGTTGCTCAATCTGTATCGTTCTTTGCAGAATTGTGTGTACTGTTTACCTTTCCGGATACATGGGTTCCCTCTGGCCTTTGATAGGGGGTTTGTGTTGCTCAATCTGTATCGTTCTTTGTAGAATTGTGTGGACTGTTTACCTTTACGGATACATGAGTTCCCTCTGGCTTTTGGTGGGGGTTTGTGTTGCTCAATTTGAATCATCCTTGGCAGTATTGTGTGGACTCTTTAACTTTCCGGATACATGAGTGCCCTCTGATCTTTGATGGGGGTTTGTATTAATCAATATGTATCGTTCTTTGTAGAATTGTTTGGACTGTTTACCTTTCCGGATACACGAGTCCCCTGTTGCCTTTGGTGGGGGTTTGTGTTGCTCAATCTGTATCGTTCTTTGTAGAATTGTGTGGATTGTAACTTTTCCGGATATATAAGTCACCTGTTGCCTTTGATGGGGGTTTGTGTTGCTCAATCTGTATCGTTCTTTGTAGAATTGTGTGGACTGTTTACCTCTCCGGATACATGAGTCCCCTGTTGCCTTTGGTGGGGGTTTGTGTTGCTCAATCTGTATTGGACTTTGTAGAATTGTGTGGACTGTAACCTTTCCGGCTATATAAGTCCCCTGTTGCCTTTGGTGGGAATTTGTGTTGTTCAATCTGTAACGGTCTTTGTAGAATTGTGTGGACTGTTTACCTTTCAGGATACACGAATCCCCTGTTGCCTTTGGTGGGGGTTTGTGTTGCTCATTCTGTATCGTTCTTTGTAGAATCGGGTGGACTGTTTACCTTTCCGGAAACACGAGTTCCCTGTTGCCTTTGGTGGGGGTTTGAATTGCTCAATCTGTATCGCTGTTTGTAGAATTGTGTAGACTATTAACCTTTCCGTATACATGAGTCCCCTCTGGCCTTTGATGGGGGTTTGTGTTGCCCAATCTGTATTGGACTTTGTAGAATTGTGTGGACTGTTTACCTTTCCGGATATATAAGTCCCCTGTTGCCTTTGGTGGGGGTTTGTGTTGCTCAATCTGTATCGTTCTTTGTAGAATTGTGTGGACTGTTTACCTCTCCGGATACATGAGTCCCCCCTGGCCTTTGATGGGGGTTTGTGTTGCTCAATCTGTATCGTTCTTTGTAGAAATGTGTGGACTGTTTACCTTTCCGGATACATGAGTCCCCTGTTGCCTTTGGTGGGGGTTTGAATTGCTCAATTTGTATCGCTCTTTGTAGAATTGTGTCGACTGTTTACCTTTTCGGATACATGAGTCCCCTTTGGCCTTTGAAAGGGAATTGTGTTGCTCTATCTGTATCGTTCTTTGTAGAATTGTGTGGACTGTTTACCTTTCCGGATACATAAGTCCCCTGTTGCCTTTGATGGGGGTTTTTGTTGCTTAATCTGTATCGCTCTTTGTAGAATTGTGTGGACTGTTTACCTTTCCGGATACATGAGTCCCCTCTGGCCTTTGATGGGGGTTTGTGTTGCTCAATCTGTATCGTTCTTTGTAGAATTGTGTGGACTGTTTACCTTTCCGGATACACGAGTCCCTTGTTGCTTTTGATGGGGGTTTGTGTTGCTCAATGTGTATAGTTCTTTGTAGAATTGTATGGACTGCTTATCTTTCCGGATACACATGTCCCCTGTTGCCTTTGGTGGCGGTTTGTGTTGCTCAATCTGTATCGTTCTTTGTAGTATTTTGTGGACTGTTCGTACTTTTGTAGTTTTTCCTTTAAGACGATGACATTGTTTGTTTTTTTTCTACTTATGGTTTTTATAACCCGGATTATTTTTTTTCGCAACTTTTTAATCTTTCTCAATACATTTTGAACATGAGTCTCTTTAAAGCAATATGCTTTCAAGTAAGACAAAATGTTTATGTTCATCCATCAAATATTTAAAATACAAAATTAGAATTTAAAAATGTATAATATTTGGGGCGTTCAGTGTAGAAAATAAAATTTTAAGTATAGGGAGACTTAGTTCGAGGTAAGATGTCTGTTCATAATAGCTAGGGATAAACAAAACTTAACTCCGATACATGCTTTTATGCCTGTCCAAAACCTCGTCTTTACTTATATCTAAATGTTCAGTATTTTAAGGAATTTGATGTAAAAGGCAAATCGTTGATTTTCGCAGTCAAAGTTTTTCACACTTTTTTCAGACTTTGGGCGATTTAGAGCTTGACATATTGTATTGACATCTGCATTTTGTTAAAGACTGATGGTTTCTCTTGTATGTCATGTCACTGGATTGCTGTCTCAGTGACGTAAACCGGGACCACTCCTTGTTACAACTACATGTTCAGAAGTTGGTTAAAACGCGAATTGACAGCGATAATGTTCTGAAACATTCCAGAAAAAAATTCAAAAACACAACAAAATAACACATTCGTGTTTAATCTTATAATTATTTACAGTTTACGATGTGTAATATTATTTACAAATAAGTTTGATAGTCTTTGCCTAATGCAGTTCAGATCCTCATCTTTAACGCATTTACGTTGCATTCATATCGATGTGTTTTTTGTTGTTTTTTTTTCATCTTTCGTCGATGTACTTTCAATTGCAAATTATTTGCGTTTATGTAAACAGAAGTATTGCAAACATTGTCATATTTAGCTGCGTTTGATTAGTACTGTCGGTAACGCAAGCTTCATTCCTATTTAAAACATATTTTTCTTTTACAAACAATCCGTAAACGTGTTAGTACATAAAGTCAAAACGTTAAGGAGTTTTACGAGTATAAAGTAGGCTAAATCTGAAAAGTTCGAAGGCAGAATGTTCTGTTCCGGGAAGTCCCTCCAAACAAGGCGCACCACATATTTCATGCAGTTGGAGAACAAGTAGTCCCGGCAGAAATATTGACCAATCAGCTGCCGAGAACAGTTTTTTCACTAGTGAGGGGAACATTTTTTTCACAATCGATTGGGAAAGGTGTAAATGGTAAAAAATTTTAGAGAATAACCGTTCCACAATAGGCCACACAGAAGACTGTTCATAATAGTTTACTTCAAATACAAGCCCGCTTATGTATTTTTTCGGTAACATAATCTCTTTCGATCTTTAATATGATAAATGTTTAAATCTATCATTTATTTTTAAAAAGGTATGACTAATAAGTAGCCTTCTTCTTTCTTTTGTCTGATAACGTTATATCTTTTCTGCATGACTGGGCCTCTTTCATTCTCACCGGGCAGCTTAATCTTTATTTGTAAGTTTGTCTAGTAAATGTCAAGTGATATTGTCTTAAATCGATCCCTTGTTTGACTGGTTTTGTACGCTCTGAATCTGTAATTGTCAGTAATATAAAACTAAAAACTGATAGACGCAGGAATATCCAAATTATACAACTCAGCAATATTGAATCTTCGGAGTTATTATCCTTTCATAACAAAACTGGCCAAACAACCAGGTTCATAATTGTACGGCGGTTGTACAAAATCTGATTTTCATCTTCATATTCACCATATTCTCTTTCGGAATCTATAACTTTAGCTCGCACAAGCAATGACCGCAGTTTGAGAACTGCATTCACAATGCCCTAAAACAGAATTCCAGATATGCTAATCGGAAACATTCTTTGTATCAATTCCGATCGGTTCTTTGTGTCCGTTCATCAGTTGTAGTTCAACATCATTTGGATTAGGAATTTCTTCATTTATAGTTCGACGTTGCCCTTTACTTGATATGCAAATTGAGAATACATGTATTCTTTTTCTTAGGCCTTTAGCGTTATATAATACAATTGCTGCTATAACAAATGTTACAACAATCGCAATAATAGAACCTGCTACCATACCAATATTATTTGTTTCATATTCAGTTGTTTGAGATAGATTCGGTGCAGATTCGTTAGTACGGTTTCCGTCATATGGCTGTATGTTTGGTCCTTTTGTTTTCCAATCATTTGAAATCGTAGTAGATCTTGTTTTAAAATCATCATGGATTAACATTTCTTTTGACTGCACTTTTGTTCCTTTTGTTTTCCAAACATTTGAAGACGTAGTAGATCTTGTTATAAAATCGTTATTGATTAACCTTTCTTTTGGCTGTACGATTGGTCCTTTTGTTTTCCATCCATTTGAAGACGTAGTAGATCTTGTTTTAAAATCATTATGGAATAACCTTTCTTTTGGCTGCATGTTTGGTCCTTTTGTTTTCCAAACATTTGAAGACGTAGTTGATCTTGTTTTAAAATCATTATTGATTAATCTTTCTTATGGCTGCACTTTTGGTCCTTTTGTTTTCATAACATTGTTTGGTAACTTGAATTCATTCCTGGATATAGAAACGCGCGCGTCGTTGGAAGAAACTTGTTTATTTAATTTAGATTTAGAAAGGTATTCTGACCTATTGATTTCTTCTCTACCTTCCCAAATATGATCTGGAAATTTAAATATATTTATATAGTTCAGCATGATAATGGCATTTAGATAAAACATAGTACTTAGCAATCCTCAAATACATGTACATATAAGTAAACTTTTTTCATTATATTACTAACCAACCAGGTGCGCTCGACTCGAATCTATATTGGCTAGGTTTGTCAGTTTTTCTACCGAAGGTCAGTAGTTCTCTCTGGGCGCTCAGTTTTCCACTAGCATTAGAAATTGGCCACCACGAAATAGCCAACAGTGCCTAAAGTTGCGTTAAACACCAATCAATCAATACTAACCAACCTGTCGGTTAGTTTTACCACAAGATATTAACTAGCTTCTATTATGGTCTTGCCATAAAGTGGTCGGGGCCATATAATGTTACCCTTATCCGTCATTCCGTCATTCTGTCATTCTGTCATTCCGTCATTCCGTCATTCTGTCATTCTGTCATATCTCATTCCGTCATTCCGAAACGAAAAATTATACGGACTTTTTTCTAAACGCCTTCACATATTGAACTGATTTTTAGTATGTGACTTTACTATGATGAGTTACAGATTGAGTTTACGTTTGGTTCCGCTCCGCTGATTTTTGCTGAAATAACGGGCTTTAGACTTTGATAATTTGCGAGAAGGGCCGGGCCATTCGTGTCGTTCCGATACATCTAGTAGCTACATAAATTAATCTGAAATACATCGATTTCTTTCATTTTTTTAAAATAAAGTTGTCAAAATTATGAATCATAATAAATGGACTAGTCATTGATTGTCGTTCTCTTTTGTTCCATTTTCCATACGATTTGAAGGGACATGTAAGTATGGACAATCTCTTTATAATACAATGTAGCAATGCATTTAATCGTCACATAATAATCATCTCACATGGGTAAATGCCACAAGTATTTTTACGGTATTACAAAGCCCTATTTTTCTTTGAAACAATGAAAAATAAACTATGTGGTTATTTGAAATAATCCATCTTTTATTCATTTTTTCAGCAGTAACAATTCATCCTTTGTTTCATAAATAGTTCGTTACTTATGTTAAACTGGAGCATACAATCTAGGCATTGAATTGGAAAGAATTGGAATTTGTACACTCTTGCCAAAAGTTGAAGCTGACGTTTGTCAATATTTGTGCATGTCCATTCCCTAAAAGCTCTCCTGAAACTTTCATAATTCCACTGACCTAGATTGAAAGAGGGGGAGGGAGAATGGGGCTGTAATCACAGAAATTAGATTATCTCAACAGCACGTTCAAGTGCTAGTCCTAAGTCAGGAACGTCGATATTGACTTCGTTTATTGGCTTATTGTTGTTTTGTGTTGCTTTTGGGGGTTGGGGGGTTGGTGGGGGGGGGGGGGGGGGGGGGTGAAGTTAAGGACGTTTTCAATCATATTTTTTTACAACATTTATAGGCTGATAGCGATTTAGAGCTGAGTATAAACTCCTGTCACTATATTGTTGAAGTCTGTTATTTACCTCAAGATGTCTCTTAAATTTGTCTTTAAATATAATGAACATATACTTACAGAAATTAAATGTCATTTTGATAGATTTTAGGTACGTTTTGTTTTCTTCCTAATTTTGTATGTTACCAAATTTTGATTTACAATGAAAGTTAAGATACAAAAAATAAAAGGTGGCATAATTGCCACCGAGCCAATCATACACCAGGTACCAAGTTACGAGGATGTGAGCTACTATAAGAATGTAAGGGCCACTTACTATTACATGTATTTTGCATTTGAGAATAGGGCATTACATGTAATTTAATACGAGATCGACATATTATTTCCAGCAATTTTAAAAATGAGTAACAATATGTATAAGATATATTGAAAAAAAACAATAACATATTGCTCATTATTATCTAAAATAAATATTCGACTTACCTATATGTGGTAAAATATAGATACTCATTACAGAATGTTTCGTTTTATTTTTAATTTTTCTTATATATATGTTTTAATAGACGATATCATTTCATTGTTTTAAAGACGAATTTCAGGTGTGATAGCAGAATAATAAATTTAGGGAAATTTTCAATGTATATATGAGTAAACATGATATTTATAGGAAGGGAAATCAAAAGTCTATAAATATAGTATGCATTTAAAGATTTTTAATTTCCCAACTCTGAATTGACGTATATATTTACCAAACATGTCATCTCACAGTTAGGCTGCTACCAATTTATTGATCAGCTAATTGTCATGTTAATTAGTCTATACGTTTCTCGATTAATACAGAGAGAGCAACGATGATATATATCAAATGCTTATAAATCTATAGAGACTATTTAACTTTTGTTAGTTTTTTTTTGTAATTTGAATCATGTCTTCAATTACAAAGAGGAAAAGTGATTTTTTTTCTAAACAAATATTGTTTTGATTTTTTTTACTTTAAATTTTCAATTTCAGCAAACAATTGTTTGTTCACCTACCTTTTGCAACATTTTTTCTTCTTCTTGCAATTAAGATGCAAAAATATTCATGCATTTAAAAAAAACGGGCTCCCTGAAAAACTACGCAATACATTTAAAAGATACGCTGGTTGCAAAGTGGTCCTATCTTATCGGAAATATTTAAAATTAAAATTAATAGCTTATTTGGTTATGCATAGCATGAATATGGTGTATTTTTTTTAAATACTAAATAAGAATACGTTTGAAATTAATTGTTTACTTACTGTTTATAACTGTACATGTATAACGTTGGTGATGTGAATGAGAATATTGTCTTGTTATGATATTTTGTTTATATATAAATCTAACATGCCTATGAATTTCCCAAAAAATCTATTTTAGGAGTTTGGATTAACCATGTTAACTAAGGTCGGATTATTTTCAAGTATGTTTATTTACATCTTTATAATCATACAAGTGTTAGAGTTGGCGGAACCTATCCTACGTTAGTTATATGCATGATGATGAATTGGTAAAAGAATGGTGTAAACTTGTAGCTAAAACAGATAAACTTTTTCTGTTTCTCTGTTTATGAGAAAATTAATCTTCAATCTATAAGTAAAATTGGTACCGTACGTTTATTTTAAGTCATGTACATTCCATAAATCTTGCAGTTTGTGCTTAGTTCCCACATTCACATCTAGAACATAACTAAAAGACCACTTTCGAGTTCGTTGCATTACCGTCAAAAACTTTGGTTTTAGTGAACATCATTCGTGCGTTTAGGGGCATCGTCACTTCCTTCCCATGTTGAGCGAGCGGTTGAAAAATATGATGCTATATTGCACAAATTATTCGGCAAATTAAATTCTTATATTTGATAATCAGCACTGTTGTCATTAGGGAATTGCGATTAAGTACCTACGGAACAAACATTCTCTCTAGTTTATCCTGCATAACGACGATCACGAAGACGCATGATGAATTTTAATAGTGCAGGGATACAGGCGATTACCTCTATCTGGTAAATAACGTTAGTATGGTGCGCATAATTGACGAACCTTTCTGATGAAGGATATAACTCGAAAGTGGTCTATTCTCATGCATCTTCCATATCTGCCTGTAAACCCGGCATATGGCAAAATTTGGGGTACTGTGCTAATTTGCATATCGGCCATATTGCCTTATCATGACGACAGCCATTGCAATAGGATTATACATGCCCTTACATAAAAATGCAAATATGCCAAATCAACAATTTGTTTGCATACTGGTGAATTATACATGTTTTTGCCTTCTGTTCGTGTACAAATAAACAGTGTCTACTTTGAAAACTTTCGGCCTTTTCAGTTTGAAAATCGGAAGCGTGACTCTAGTATAATTGATATATAAAATAACGAAAAATCGTAAAAAGCAAAATTAAAAAATAAATTAAGATACAAGAGTACGTTCATGATTTGTTTGCATATAGAGAAATACCTTGCAGTTGGATTTTTAGGTTAAACATCTTTTATCTTACATGCTCTCTTAAGTTTTCTGCCAAATTCTTTTAAAAACATGAAGATTTCATCCTGCCCGTTTCGTAAATAGTCAAATTTTCAGCATTTTTCCTTAGAATTACACAACATATTTGTAAATATCCGCTAATGGAAGTTTTCAGAGACACGTTAGTTTTAGATCAAAGACGGAAAAAGACTGGATTATCAATAAATTTGATATAATTCATATTTTCAATTTACAATTAAGGGAAGTAATTTAATTAAAAGGGCCCAGGTCACGTGGTGCAAATCATATAAGACATAATTTAAAGTACCTAGGATTTTGACCCTATTTGTTCGACCGTGGAAGACCCTCAAGGGTAGTCAAGGTCGTAAAAAAAAACCTCGTCGTCATATGGGCCATATGGCCCTCCCTTATTTTTTCTCTCATTAATATGTCCGCTTGCCGCCAATTGTGATGTTAAGGTTGAAATGGCGTTCAGTTGTCTTCCGTTTTGACGGAATTCATTCCTTCCACCACTGTTTTTTAGCTCAACCAGCCAAAAAAGCCCAGTGAGCTTTTCTCATCACCTGGCGTCTGTCCTTCGTCGTCGACATTCTTTAACTTTAACAAAAATCCTTTCCACTGTAACTAAAAGACCAGATTTACCAAACATGGTGACAATCATCATTGATGTACAGGCATTTAGTTTTTTTAAACTGTCAGACGTCTTCTTGTAGGAGTTATTGCCTTTGAATGATGGTTTATACCAATTGTTTGGTTTTTTGCCTGATAACTTAAATACTATATAATAGATAGATAGTAACCTCAAATAAGCAAACAAGATAAGCAAGATAAGATCTACAATTAAGTCAAATGGCCGTAATCGTCAGTCGACACCTTATAGGAGCTATTGCTCTTTAATGACGAAATCGCTAGTAGACTCTTTGTAAGAGTGATATCCCTTAATGACGATTTTTTACCCTTTATTGTGTTTTTGACAACACTAAAGAAGATAGAGAGAAGTTGTAAACAGAAACAATGAACAGCAATATAAGATCAACAAAAACGGTCTTTTTCATGAATTATATTCTTCTCCACAATGTTCGCGTTGGTCCATTGTTGAAGATGTACATTTGCCTAGGTGAGCGACAAAGGCTCTTTAGAGCCTCTAGATACATCTTTACACACTTTTGTTTTCAATGTCCTTAAAAGAGAGACAGAAGAACCCAAAAGGATATTCAAACTCATCAGTTGAACACAAAATGTCAATGCAATGGCAAATAACATATAACAAAAAATTACAAAACACAACATGGAAAATCAAAAACTGAGCAACACGTACCCCACAAAAAATCGGGGTTCCACATGTTCCACATGTGGCACTTGTCGTGTTGCTATATTTTGTCATAGTATGTTCAACGTCACTGTGAAATATTGTTTAAATAATATCACAATCATAACAAAACTCGATACTTGTGTAAAACCTGCTGTTTAAATGCTGAAGTCTCCGGGGCTGATATCCATACAACCACTTAAGTCATATAAGTTATTCAATCGTAGTACTAATTTATCGTAGGACATATAGAAAAAATTCGTCCGTTCAGCCCAGATTTTTAATTCATCATACCATATTTTATGTGCTTTATGTATGCTTTAAAATGTGAATTTAATTCTTGCATCAGATCTTTAATATTCTCTGCTGAGCAAAAGTATTAATTAACTTTCATTATTCTCTGCATTTGAAACATTTCATGAAAAAGGGGAACGATATTAAAAGAGACAAAAATCAGGGGTGATCACAAGTACTCCGGTAGGGTGAATTGTCTGTACTGTCTAAATGTAACCAGCTATCATGCACTCTTGATCATGCATTACGGTCAAAGTGCTAAAAATTCCTCAATTATTGAAATCTATCCTGTTGCATTAGCCAATATATATCTGGTGTAAATTAGATACACCTAATCGGGCTAACAACTTCATTTGTGTATTTAATACAAAGGTTAAAGATTAAGTTAAATACAAAAAAGTGCGTCGGGCGCACGTGATCTTCCGTAAATTAGTTCTTTAAAAAACGTTAAAATCATTCGGAACATGGAGGTTCAGCCTGAATTTGAAATTTTTTTTAAGTTGTTTTTGTTTTCAATGCTATTTAACTTAGTCATAGATTTCGCTTTTCTGCTATTTGGATCGAAAAGCGCGTCTTGCGTACTTACTTATAAGCTGTGTATCTTTTAGGAGTTTTTTTCTCACTTACTGATGTTTCTTAATAATAAATTCCTTTCACTGAATAATTCAAAGTTTATTTTATTTACTCTATTCCGTTGAATTTGAAAGATTTGGAAACCGCATGCATTTGGTCATTAATTTGTAGAAACATTTCAATATTGTCTTACATTAAAATTTACAGTTAACTGTTTAGGTAATGTTTTAGAGTTTGTGTTTCTCGTCATTATGTTATCGATAAAAGATTGCTATTAACAAAGAAGCTACTTAACCAAAGTTTCTTACAGTCATGTAATTGTGTTATGGTCGATTTATACGTACACTATCATTATTTGGTTGACTGTTTATGTATATATACAGTGGAGATCACTTCTAACCTCTCATTAAATCTGTCAGAATCTGTCAGGAGAACTGTTCTAGGACAGTATGTAGAACTGTCAGCCTGACACCTTTTAGACAGTTCTAGCTAGAACAGTTCTAACCTAGAACTGATTTGGACAGTTCTACCAAGAACTGATCCTGACAGTTCTACCCTTGAACAGTTTTAGACAGTTCTATCTAGAACAGTTCTACGGTTAGAATTGATTTATAAATTCTACGACTAGAATTGATTTATAAATTCTACGGCTAGAATTGATTTATAAATTCTACGGCTAGAATTGATTTATAAGTTTTAAGAACTCTTTGTCTTAAATATAAGGCTTTGGCAAAATAGCGATTTATATAGAGTTTTGCTATTTTGCCGGTCTTATTTCAGATTTTTAATCAAGACAACATGTTTAATCGCGCCATATTCTGCATGAATGTGCCTGTTCCAAGTCAGGAGCCTGTAATTCAGTGATTTTCTTTTGTTGATGTGTTACGTAAATTAATTGTTTTTCGTTCATTTTTTGTAAATAAATTAGGCCGTTAGTTTTATCATTTGAATTGTTTTACATTTGTCATTCCGGGAGTCAGGATGACTCGTATAACAAAATTATTTGACCTCATTAACCAAATGTAATAACTTGTTTCCCAATCCACTATTATAAATAAATATGTTTTTAAATTAAACTTAAACTGACATGTAGCCGCACACTGCAGAAATACAGTTATATTTTTAGGCAAGGATGGATTGTACAAATGACAGCAATTATATTGGAAAACTATGACTTCAAATTTTGTTTGAATCAATTTATAATACCAGCATGTCCTCTTTTTATTCAAAATATTGAATCGTAAACAAATACGATATCTGTTTACGAGTAGTTTTCATAACGTGGACGGACCTGTTTAACAAACATCTTTTGACCGCATCAACCTTAACTGACATTCTTTGCTCTTTTTTCTGCAAATCTATATAGCTGCACAGTAATAAAGCTATAATTTTTGGTCAAGAGGGACTGAAAAATACAAGTTACAGCATTATTGGAAAACATTGACCACAAAATTTTGTTTGCATAAATTTATAGTGCCAGCATGTCCTCTTTTTATTCAAAATATTGAATCGTAAACAAATATCAGTTTTCATACCTCAGACTGACTCGTGTAATAAAATTTTTTGACCGCATCAACCAAAACTGACCATATTTGCTTTTTTTTTATGTAAATCTATGTAGCTGCACAGTAATTCAGTTATAACTTTATGTCAAGAGGGACTGTAGTAT